AGAAATTTTTTTAAATATTAACTAATAGACTAATTTTAATTAATATTATATTATATATAAATAAATCGAAAGCGTCTAGATTAATTGAAAAATGGCTTTACACAGTGATTAGATCTCTTTAATATCATGCATTCTTTTATTTTTTTTAAAAAAGTCAACATTTGTTCGACAAATACTATACTACTAAAAATATACTATATAGGGGACAGGGTTAGTTTTGTTTGCTTGCAATAAATTTTATCTTCAATTTATCATAGAATAGCTTCATCATTAAAATAGAAATAGCAAAAATCCGGGGCTTCTACCTTTTATACTGTGGGCATTTTTTACGATTAAGTAAAAGTCGTGCTTTTTACTATTTACCAACGACCCTGGGCAAGATGGCTCTGCCATTCGGGGTAAGATGGCAAATATCAAATTTAATTCAAAAAATAAAAAGGTTATTATAATTAACACATAATGTAATCCAAACAAATTATAAATATTTTTTAAAAAATATAGTCTTCAACAATAAAAAACAACAATAAATAGATAATTCTTGGCACAAATAGGATATACCCATTCAGAAATATTAGTGATTGTATCTATTCCTCGCACTTTTTACTGAAAACAATATTACATATAGTGGCCTAGTTAAAATTTATCCAAAAGGGAGGGTAGTTAAAATTTTATTTTGGAAGTTATGCCCCCAAACCTCTATTTCCACGCCGTTCGGCCGGATCACATCACTGGAAAATTTTGATAAGGTATTTTTGACTTTCACGTGATTATTTTCATTTTATTTATAAAATATGTAATATCTTTTTAGTAGTAGCCAGTATAAAGGGAAAAATTTAGCAAATAAAATTTTTGCCAACCATAACATAAAAAAGCTATTGAAAGCATTTATTTTAAAAATTTATAATGCTTATTGCTTAATTTTATTTTAATCAGTTTGATAGACATAAGGAAAAAACCTTTTAGAAAAAATTACTTGCCATTATGTCAGATTCCTCAATGAGTTTTTTCGAAACACAAAAAATAAACCTAATAAAAATAATGAAAACTATGATATTAGCTTAAATATGAAATGAGTCAAGCTTATGGAAACACCATTTCTAAAATTATACAAACAATTAAAGAGTGTTTAATTAGTACATTTTACTGCTTTAATCTGTTTGGTAGATTATTTAAAGGAGAAAAAAATTATTGCTAAAAAATTGTCAAAATTGACATCATGTCAAAAATAAAGAGCTAAGTATCTGGTTTAGGCTAATATTCAGTAATTATTACATATTTTTTAATAAATTTCGCCAACCACAGTAACCGAACTATAAGCAAATAAAAACGATGATATCACACCTTAATCATGAAACTCTGATATATCAATAAGTAGGGCGTGTTTAGTACATTTTTGTTTCAACCCATTTGGTAGCTATTTTAAATGGAACCCATTATTGGCAAAATAGGAAAAAATTGCCAAGATTGGTACAGCTTTTTTGACCATTCCATTTTTGCTACTTTGAACATCGGTTCAGGTCATAAATTTTTGACGTCAATTCCTTCTAAGAACCCAGACATTGAGATCATTGATCAAGAAATCAGTTTTGTGTACCTTAAACATCAACTTGATAATCCCATACAAATGTGCTAGATGTCACAAACAGGGGAATTCAGGCAGATATTATTTTCAATGCACCAAAATAACGGGCGAACTACCCGGAAATCTCTAAGCAATTTTCTTATCAAACGTAAAATTCAACTAGAATTCCTTCCACGATGAATCCCATCGGGTTATTTGCTAAAAAGAGAAATCAGAATGGAACCAGTCGGTTACCTTAGAAGGATGGCAAGTTCCCAGCTTAGGATTTTTTCTACATCGACCCTTTGGCTTTATCAAACCTAAACAAAGATTTAGTAGCTAAAGAAAAATTGAAATGTGATGAATACATGGACATATCTGATCAATACCATTTTGTACCAGTCATCATGACCACTTTTACCACTTTTGGTGTTCAACATCTATTCAAAAAATTGGGCAGACAAATTTCAGTCAAAAAAGAGGATCCAAAGGAGGATTTTAATTTCATCAAAGACTTGCAATCCAGGTCATTAAATAAAATTTCCATTGCCTTATTAACTCATTCCCCTCTTGATTTTGTTTAATTTGTAATATAATGTCACTTAATTTGTTATCAGAAATCTCAAGGCCCGACTCGGCCTTTTTCGGCCCGTTAAGAATTTTTGCATAAGTAGCCCTGCCTGCTAAATTTTTTGTTCCATCCAGTTCGCTATTTTTAAAAAACTTACCCGAAGCTCGGCTTGATTTTTTATGTACGACTTGCCCGGCCCGCCCCAGCCTAATATAATTTTCCGTTTTAATTTATTTTAAAAGTTTCCCAGCTCGCAGGCCGAGCTTTGCAGATTATTTTGTATAAGTTTATGTATACATAAATAACTCATGATTTCGATGAATTGATAGAAATAAAAACAAAATAATATGATTAAAAAAATAAAAATAATAAATTTAAAATATGAAATATGAAAAATTACTTTTATCATTATAAAAATCGTATTTCAAAACATGAGACTCCATGTCTCTAGCTGAAACTTTGATGCCTTAATAATTTATTAGCGGTAATATAAAATCACCTATGACATTAGAAAATGTGTACCAAAACTAGATGGTTGGATACGGTGAATTGGAAAATGATTGCTATAGATATTTCCTAACCTAAAGTGCTTAAGTTAAGTAATTGTTTAGTAAAATAATATTAAAACCAAGTGCGTTTTTTAGACATATAAATCATAGCGTTATTGGAAAGCGTCTTGTTTTTCTGTTTTTTTTAATATAATTTATAACAAAAATTATGTAAAATTTTGATTAAAAAATGAAATATTTCTATAGTAGTATATCGTTTATTTATAGATTTTTATGTTTTTAATGCACTTTTTTTTAAAGAAGAACTGATATATTTTCTAGAAATAAAAAATTAAGGAAAGAATTTTATCAACTTAAAAGAAGTAAAAATTTTCCTTTTAGATTATTAATACTAGTCCAATGGGGGAGCAGTTTCCAAACAACTCTCTTGTATACGCCACTGATAAATCTAGAGGATGTTAACCCCCTTTCCAAATCTTAAATATTTTTTGCAAATGAGAAAACCAATAAAACCAACAAATCCGTCAAAACTATAGAAAAACCAAACCTACTACCCTTCCTCCAATAATCCCTTCCACTCTTATTATATTATAAAGAATCTTGTGCCATATACTTCCACTCCCTTGTGTTAAAATGGGATCACTATCATGATTAGATAGTGAGTCGACTATAGACTTATCAGCTGTTCCCAGCCAAACTTAGATAAGCGTTTTGGGTTACACTAGGAATAACTTCATCCAAATGATTTCATCTATAGAATGATCATCACAAATGCAATCTGTAAAAATATTAGGGTTTATTACAGGTAATCCTACTTTAAATATTTTGAGGAGTTGTTTCCTGGAATTTTTGCCTCAAAAATTTACCCTTTTACCCCTTCCTGAATAACCTTAGTGGTGAGTAAGTTTACTAGCAATTATTCCAGATAAGCTAAAAACACTGGTTCAAGTTTATTCGGTAGCTAAGACATTTGGAATATATCCAATAAATTTTATAATTCAAAAAGCTTTTGCCTTAAAAAAAATTTCTAAATAAAAAGGTTGGTTAAAAAATGTTATATAATTGTTTTTGATAAATTCCTGAATGTGGACCCACTATTAAATGAATATATGGTTAGATAGTAGTGGATACCGGGTTTCGTTCTGACCTGAATAAATTCAATAACATTTCATTTATCTGAATAAATAAAACATCTTCGCAGTAGTGTTGTTAAACGACTCATTTTAAGCCGATTTTTAAAAACGGCTAACTCAATATTTTAGCTAAAAAAATATTGCCTAAGCCATGAGATTTCGCTATATGTCGAAACCTTTGTTCCTTCTACAAGCAAAATCTTCAGGCTTGCATAATAATATTCTGGATGAAATATTGATTTAGTCGTTTTTAAAAATCGGCTAACTACTTCGCAGTCCTCAATGTTTAGGTATTTAAAATAGTTAATATATATTTTATGGAAACTATACACTTTTAGAAGAAAATTTCTGAAAAGAAGTTATTTTTGGCCCAACTCTGCCGTATTCTGGGTATATTGGTCCAACAATAGGTAATAGTAGAATTATGGGTCTAAATTTAAAATTAATTTTTTTTGATATTATGTTAATATTAGTGACTTTAAAGTATATTAATTCATTGATAATATCATATATATACTCAATAATTAAGTAAATTAAATTAAATTGAATTGAATTGAGAGATATTAAGAAATCTTAAGAATTATATTAAAAAAGATTAAAATAAAATATTAATATGTATTATATTAAAAATTAATATTTTAGAATGATAAATATTTATTGAAAATTATTTGCTAGGTTTAAATCAAAATAAAAAATAAATATGCAATAATTAATAAGACCAACTATCCTATGACCAACCATAACCTAGCCCACTAACTTTCAAATATCATTCAGAATCGTGTTAACCAATATTTTATGTTTCTAAAAAATTGTCAGATTAAAGAATAGGGTTTACTTTCCTAATATTTATTTATTAAAATTATAAAATTATTTATAAATCTATACGATAAAGTTTGCAATTATTTTTTATTTTGGTATGGTAAAATACATTTTCCTCTGTAAAAATTAATATACAAAATATTTTTCTGATCTTTATTAACCAGACATGTTTAAGTAATTATCTATATTATGCTTAAGTTTCCAGTCTTATTAAATAATAGTTTAATTGATAACTAAACCACGGTCTCCCCAAAATACATTTTTTGACCAAATTTGAAACAATTAGCCTTATAGATGAAGTTATAGACTTTTGACTTTTTACCTATCCTCCCGTAAAGCAATGGTCTCCCCTATATATACATTTAAACCTTTTATTAATTATAATAACTAATTTTGAAAAGTTTAACTGTTTCTCCATTTTTCATTAACGGTATTCCATTGATAATATCTCTTTTTTTGATAGAAAATGTGAGTGCTTGATACAAGATCGAGTTATATATTACAAACGCCAGAAACAACGAACAAATCATTTTTGGCTTCAAAATTATTCCCATGACCATTTTTCCGCTGTTTTATTATATTTTAAATAATTATATATTGTTTGAAAATGAATTTATAACCTAAAAAGTGACCAGGGCAATTTACCTAGGGCCACTCAGTGATCTACAAGAACAGTTTTGTAATTTATGGATGGAGGTGGTAACTAATATAAGAAGGGCGCCTTTTGGAGATTTTACTGAATTTAATGATTTTGTCAAAATTGAATCCTATATTAAAAACTATAGATGAGGCGTAACAATACTCTTGAAGCCTTTCCGCATAAATTATTAATATAAGATCACACACATGATTATAAATGTTTTGACACCATGCTGGGACTGAAGGGCTTTTTCATTATGCCTTTGGATCTTCCAAATAAGGTAGAATAAGAGATAAAATTAAATCAATTAAGTAAAATAATTATAAAAATTTATTAATCCTAAATCAGTAAAATCTAAATTTTATTTTTTTTTACCTTTTCGAGTTTAGATTTCTCTGTAATGAAAGAATTTAGCTAGAATTTTTTTTTTTCAAAATTAAAAAATTGATTATTTGTAATATAAAAAATTATTTCTTTAATTAGTAGATATATAATTATATATAGTTATTAAATAAAATAATATTATATTTATTAATAAAAAATAATAATTTGATAAAAAAATTAATAAAAATGGAGATAGTAACGGAGCCGGTGTCTAACTAATTTTTGATAATACGGTCATATTTGTACTATACTGAACTCATGTATATACTAAAATTACTTAAAAATTAAAAGAATTTAAAAATGTTAATTTATAGAAGAAAAAAAAATTCTGTGCTGCACAATCGAGGAAATAATTTCGATTTTGGTTTAGAATGCCTTATCTGCCAAATGGATAAGAAATTCCTGTATTAAAAAAAATAACTCAATAAAAAATAACATTTTGTCAATGAAAATATACGAGTTAGGGCACTATTTTTGAAAAAATCACCATAGTTTATTAGAAATGATCATCTATGATGAAAAGTTTAATCATTCGATGGCGTCTCTAGGAAGAAGTAAAAGTAACGAAAGTCAACCGGTCGGAATACCAGTTTAAATCTGTTTGACCTTCGAATCAATGGGTCAGAACTGGACTGTTGGATAAGTTAAAATATATCCTTTAGCAAAAAAATGTTGGCGCCTCTTAAATAGTAAAAATTGGATATGATCAACAACAGTATCATTGGATTGTGGTCGTTTAGACATAGATCTATTTTATAGATCCTTTTTCTAAATCAGTTTTTTGATAATTAAATCATATAATCATAAATAATAATATCATTATTAATTAAAATATAAATAAACATTGAAAAAAAAACATTATCATGACTCAATCTATGCAATTTAATTAGTTTAAATCGTTAAATTTATGATTGTAATATCAGAAGCCAAAACCAATTAATAGTTAAGGTTTTAATAAGTATAAGTTTAAACTTTTTTGAAATATTGATAAATGATTTAATATTTTATTACTTCGTGAAAAATGATCGTTGATTATAAATAATATGTCTAATACATTTTACGAATTTTCGATTTTTCGTAACAAAGCCCCGAAAACATTATTTGAAGGCTAAAAATTAATTAAAATTTATTATTCGAATCCAGAATGATTTAAAAATAATTTAGCACTCATTATTTCCTGAAAAATTGCTTCACAAAAGATTTTTGCTAAATAATTGTAAAATTAAAATGTTTACTACTATATAGTTTGCTATTTATCATCTGAAAAATTTTGAACTTTTTTACTTATTCGGACAAATTAAAGGGGGTGTGGAATATGTATATGATGGCAGAGAATATCCCCTTTATCCAAAATGAGCTAGGAGTCACTAATTTAATTTTTTTATAATTAACAATAATAAATAATGTTGATATCGAATGATAATTGGGCAAAAAATAATTACAAGCGATCAATGTTTTATAAAAATCGATAGTTTATATAAAAACTAGAATATAGATTAAAGGAAATATTAAAATTTTGATTAATGAGGGTTTGGTGTCCTTTTTACTTTTTAATTATCAATCATAGTTTTGAATCCAAATGATAACTCAATAACCAAGCAAGGGGTTTGAGAGGAAGAAATATAACCGTACACATATTTTTTAAAATTTTTATATATTTATTCAATAAATTTGGGTAACATATTTGCTACAAAAGTCCTGGAAACTAATAGTTCTTTAAGATATCAATTTTTTAAACATGAAATGAAGATTTCCTCTTACACCTTCCTCCCACTCCCAGCCCCCTCTTTCCAAAAATGTATATTATTTAAAAAAAGTAGAGCTATCCCGATCCACAAATTTTTCACTATCAATATTGCTACAAAACTGATCTGATATTTAAATTGATTTTATCTACCACCTATCTTTGAATAAATGTCATAAAAAAATTATTATTTTCTAAACTTTAACTAATTATTAAGTATATTTCTTTTATTTTCAAAAAGTTAATTATTTCATTTAAAATTTGGGCAATTTTTATGGGTGAATGTAGTGTTATTAAACGGCTCAATTTAGCCCTTTTTAGCTATCAAGTTTTAACTAAAATATTATTACCTAAGCCTTGAAATTTCAACAATACCAAATCTTTCTTCCAACTGTGGACAAAATCTGCAAACTTGTATTTACTTTGGGACAAAATTGAGTTAACCATTTTAAAAATTGACTAAATTGACACGTTTAACAAAACTAGTTAATATGACTTGTTAGATATTTCAAATCCCTTTCTTTTCAGATATAACAAAAAAACGAAATTTTATCTACTCTATCTTTTAAAATAATTCTCTTTTTTAGACTAAATAAATTGAATTTTAATTTCTTTAAGAATATATTGTTATTATGAAATTATATATAAAATAGAAGATATCCATTATACCATTATATATATAATAAAATCATAATATAACAATAAATTTATCGGATCGGATCAATTTTTTTAAAATATAGGCCTGATCCGATATTTTTTAATTAAATATCGGTCCCCGATCTGATATTTAATATCTAAAAAAAGCGAAAAACCAAAATTATTTTTATAAAAATATAACATAGCCAAAGACTTACTAGAACTTAAAGACCTCCAACAAAATTTATGAAGGAAAACCACCTAATAATGCTATCCCACCCTCCATAATCCTGGATATGTCTAGGTCTTGAGATATCTCCATTACTCAAGAAGGCGTTTAATTTTGGGTTACTTTTTTAATAGTAACATAGTTTACGCCGCCTTGTGTACTAATATTGATTTACACTCTTATTATTTTAATAATTTTGAATATAATTACAGTAAAAAAATATAGATTATTTATTATTAAATTAAATATAATATAATTGATAATTTATAATACTCTATATTAAATATATTCAGTAAATTTATATTAATGACCCATGTATTATAAGAAAAGAAATCAAACCTAATTAATAAAGTGTACAAATAATCTATATGCAGGCACGTCAGAACTAGGTTTGTCAGGTCTACCACATTGACTAGTAGACTACCATATATTTTTTCAAAGTCAAAATTTCCACTCAACTCATCTACAACAATTCTGCCATATTTTATAAAATTTCTAATATAAATATACCCCAAAATCTCCCATATTTTAATTTTTTTAAAAATAATATTTTTGAAATTATTTTATATATGTAGTATGGGGTTTCGGACTGCATGGGGATTCTGAATCTCTCAATTTTAAATCATTTACTAAGGGCGATTTTTGGATTTTAAAAATCTGATTTTACAGGAATTGTATCAGCATGAGAGTATTTACCCTATAAATTTCAGCCAATTTCAACGATAGACATTTTAGTATTTTTTAATTTATATGTAAAATCCATGTAAAAATTAATATAAATTAGAGGTAGTTCTAAATTTCATGGCAAAATTGTTTGAAATTTACAGTTTGGGTACTCTAGCCATGCTAGAATACATTTTCGGTTAAGTCAAACTTTAAAATTTTTTAAATCGCTCTCGATAAAGGATTTAAAATCAAAAGATTGAATCCCCACGGGCGAATCCCAATACGACATATATATATAATAAATTCTGGTATTATTATTCATCCTAACTACCTTCTTTCATTTTTGGGTTGATTATATTTATTGCAGAACTTAGAAAGATTTGATTTAGTTTCACAAAGTAAGCTCCTTTTTTTGAATTCTACTATTTTATATCGATTTGTGGGAGTGTTGAAAACGAGATTTTCAAGCTAAAATTCTGGCAAATTATTTGTTATTGGCAAAAATCTTTATCATTTTGTTATATGATAAACCTTATAAATATTTGGACTGTTGGTAATAATCACAAAAAACCTAAGGGACAGTAAAGTCCATTACCATTTTGACCTGACTTTGTAAGTTTTTTTCTATACTTCAATGTCCCGTCCCGTTTCAGAAAATATTCGCGCAATACTTATAATTGAAAGACAATTTATGAAAGAATGTAGAAAAGCAAATGACATTATGGAGTTTCCATTTTTCAACGCATTTTATCACAAAAAATTTTATTTAATATGAGGAAGATCTTGAAGAATTAATTTTAAATATTCAAGCAGAGGCGTGTTTCTGCTGCATATGGATATTTCTACCGACCAACAATAAACTGGCTAGGTCACTGGCTGAGTAAATAGTATATATAATGAATGGACCATATAATATATTATTTATTAAAGGATAACTTTAATCAGTATAACAATTAGGAAAACTTGGAATTGCGTTAATTTTCTTTCACTTATATTATATAATATAAGGTAATAATAGAAAAAAATGTTGTATTGTTTTATATATTATTATTATATTACATTCATATGTAGTACAGTAAATGATTTATAATATTAATCATAGCTATGCTATAATGGGATTATGTTTGTTTTTTAAATAGCATAAAATGGCATGCAGATTATTTACATTTTTTTTGTGCAAATGATAAATTAAAGGCTTATTTAAATAATATATTAGATATTTTAAATTTTTTATTTTGTCAATTTCATTTTTTTTAAGGTTGGCTCTTTTCCCTGGCATCTTCAAAAATTTTATTTAATATAAAAAAAATCTATATATTTAAAAATGAACTCGTTATTTTTTGATAGCAGGGAGTCCGGAAGGTCATAAGTTCGAACCCAATTTTAGGAATTTTTTCTCTAATTTGATATAAACGCAATATTTATCCGGCAAAATTAAAAATCAGA